TTTGTTAAAATATTTTCTTTTCTGATCTAGTTATTCCATTTTATGAAATCTGTATCATTTAATAACAGTGCTGGTGAAAGGATTTTCTTTGCTCAGAACAGGGAGCTAGTTCAAGAACTTGACATCATCAACTGGCTTATCTTTCCAAACCAATCATTCACGGGAGTGAAAGTTGGAAAAATGGTTCCTCAGTCTCCTCCTGAGGAAGCATTCACCATTAATGAAGATGCAATGGTATGGCACAGCTGGTTTAACCAGGTATGAATTGAGTGAAAATATTTTTTATCTCTATTTTCCATATTCATATTTTGGTCAGATGAATTACAAGGTCTTGTCTCTTTCATTCTCTCTTTTTCTATAAATCCCAGATATTTCATACGTCAGAATCATTCTGCTGTGAGATGAGTAGGTCCACTGAAAGTGATTAATTGAATGTTCTCTGATGACAATTTATTTAATTATTTAAAAGATTTGTATAGCCATCCATTTAATGTAACGTATCCATGGGTGACTTTTCCTCCCAAATGATATTCAGTCACAACTGGCAACTATCTGGTCAGAAATATGAAATAGAATATGGCTTGTTTCACTAGTCAATTGTGATGGAAGGTGTGAGCGATGAGGATTCTGGAAAGGAGCTTCAAGGTTACAGGGAGGGGAGAGAAATGTTTCAGGGAAAGCATCTACTCAGCCCCCTGCTGGACTGTGTGAGGGTCAAGAGAAAGGGAATGGCCCCTCCCTAAGGGCATAATGGTTATAGTTGCTGTTGTTGGGGGATTAGAGTTAGTCTGATGAGATTCTGTGTCTTAGGTGCAAGCTAATAAAGAAGCAGAGCTGATTTCTGAATTGTCGTGTGTGATTCTTGGGCTGAACCTGACATCAATGGAGCCAAAATTCTCTTCTCATTCCCTCAAATGATGCTACATCATTATGTCCTCCCCCCCCGCCCCACCTCATTGGAGAAATAGAAATGTCAATGAAGAAAAAACACTATTGGACATAGATTGTCTCTATACATGGAAATCAAAGTTCCTTATCACCTCATGTTGTAACAATCAGGTATCAAGCCTGAAATTTAAGGCATTTCACCTAAACATTCTATAAAGTATATTTCTCCTTAATCCATTTTCAAAGCATTCCATCTTTCAAATTGGTTACAGAAAAATTATGTGAATACTGTTCTAACAGTAGGACCAGGCAGGAAATCTTCATTCTAGAGATGCTTAATACCTTTTTCAGACCTTGGCTTAACTTGGCAGAAGATTTTGGCATCCAACTTGGCTACATTTGAATCTCTGTTACAGACAAGAATCAAGTCTTAAATAGAACAGTTCACCATCTGCTACAGTGCAATTAAGAAGTAGGGTATATTAAAGAGTTAAGGCTTTTCCCATCTTTTTGATCCGCCCTCTAAATTTCTTGACATTTGGCCAGGTTCCTGATGGCTTTTGGAGTCATGCGAAATATATTGACATAATGGTTCTCTGTAACATGTGGACCACTGGTTCCTGACTCACCTCTCTCAACCCTTATAATTACTTAGACACAGGAGTAAATTTGCTATATTGGTAATGTTGAACTGGGTGGGGTTGGCTATGAAATGATACCTGTTTTCCATTCCACGCACATACTGTACATCTTCAATGTCCAAGAGTGAAATATTACCTGGAAAATTGCACCAGGTGACTTGGTGCTTGTGGGGTATCCTGAGGTCCCCTTCCCCAGAAGAGGCAAGGGTGGGAAAAAGATACAGGTGCATCTCAGATATATTTAAATTAATTTAAATTAATTATTTTACATTTCAATGAATATTAGTCCATTCATAATAGTTGAGGTTTTCATCCACAGAAATTAATATTACTTGAAAGAACATGGTTATATCTCATGGAGTAAATCTTTTTTTTTTTTTTTTCCATCTTTCACATTAAAAACTACAATTTTCTTCCAGGTATTGGAGGGGCTCTGTATGGATTCAGGCTCTGCAATTGCTCAAACAGAAACAAACAAATGAGAGGAAAACACTGCTAAAGTTTGATTCCTGCATGGCTTTCTCCACTATAGTCCTCCTGGCCGCTATGTAGTTTTTTTCCTGAAACTTAATCAATTTAAAATTCTGTTCCCCCAATTAACTTGTTCTTCCTTCATTGATGGACAGGCATTGCCTCTTTCTGTCTGCAATGCTCACTGCCAGCCTGGATCCAGAAAAAAGAGGAAAGAAGGGAAACCCTTCTGCTGCTATGATTGTATTCCCTGCCGCAAAGGATCGATATCCCAGCACAAGGGTGAGCATTAGTGCGTACAGAGATGTCACGGAGTTTATTTTCAAAAGGAACATTCCTGGAAGATGAAGGGATAAGTCATACAACCCCTGCCATGCTCATGCATAACCTATTCTGTTCTAATGTCACTTGAAATGTTGTTGCCTCTTCCCATGACACTTTATGTTTATCCTCCCCCTTTACCCCACTCCCTACAAATGAATCTCTTCCTAAAATGCTGGCATGGCATTTAACTCCATTCATCTGTGAGGTGGAGTTGTATGGATGAGTTCAAATACTAAAGCACAATTTGTCTCCAAGCCTCCTTCAAGATCCTGGAGTCAACATAATATAATTTCACTTGAAATCTTCTCTTTTGCAGACATGGCTGACTGTCTCAAATGCCCTGATGATTCCTATGCTAACGAAGATCAGAAAGCCTGCATTCCCAAGATTATAAGCTTCTTGTCTTATGAAGAACCTTTGGGTATCAGTTTAGGCACTAGTGCCCTTTCATTTTCACTGGCAACAGTTATGACACTCGGGATCTTTCTGAAGCACCACAATACTCCCATAGTGAAAGCCAACAACCAAGGCCTTACCTACACCCTTCTCATTTCACTCGTGCTGTGCTTCCTTTGTGCGTTGCTCTTCATTGGCCAGCCAAAGAAGGCAATGTGCTTTCTCCAGCAAATAGCCTTTGGCATTG